AGAAGGCCTGGTCTCTCTCGAGTGCGCCTTTCCCAGCGACGCATCCATCAGGCGATCCATGTACCGCACTGTCTTCAGTCTCGTCTTCCCCTTTCTCCTCATCCTCGCCATCATGTTGGTCTCGCTGATGCGCAGCAGCCTAACGTCGAAAAATTGGAAGCAGGTACTGGCCCTCTGGCGCGTTTCCTTCCTATCCGTGCTCTACATTTCGTACATCGAAGTTTCTCGAAACGCTCTGAGAGTGCTGGACTGCACTGAAGCCGACGAGGGAGGCAGGGACCTCGCGGGGGGCACGGCCGCCCTGGGCAACTACTGGACCGACGACACGGATCAGGAATGCTACAAGGGCAGCCATTTGGTGGTCCTTGTCGCGCTGGCGGTCCCGGCACTGATGCTCGTCACCATTGGCATGCCTTTTGTCATTTTCGCGAGCATTATAAGGATTGGTGACAAGGAGGCGCACATGGGAGCCGTGGCGTTTCTGTGCCAGCCTTACCGGAGGGGCCGCAGGTACTGGGAAGTATTAGTCATGCTCCGGAAGTCTTCTCTGGCCGCTATCACCGTGTTCCGATTTCCGCTTGGCCCAAACCTCCAGGCGACGCTGGCGGCTGCGGTTTTGATGTTCTCGGTCGTTCTCCACCTCCTCGTGTTGCCCTTTGACGACCGCGGTCCCCCATTGAACGGCATGGAGACCATGTCCCTCACGTGCTCGATTGCAATGCTCATGGCGGGCATTACATTCAATGACCCCCACACGTCCACCGAGGCCTCGATCATCATCTCTGCCGCTGTGCTCATTTACATGGGCGGGGTGGTGACGTATCTAGTGGTCCAACTGGCCCGAGAAGGGGCGAAGGGAGCGGAAAGGCTGCTGAAGCGGGAAGGCATTCAGGTGGACGCCGGCACGGGGCCGCTGGGAAAGCTGTGGCTGGCATTGGCATTTGTTGTGGGCTCGTGGATGAAGGACGCAATGGATGGGGCTTCTTGCGTCAGGAGAGCGATGGGAAAGTGTCTCTTCGTTGGGCGGCGCGAGGCATCCGTTGCGGAGCTGCAGATGAGCTAAGCTCGGGGGAAGTGGAAGGTCCAATGGACGGTGACGTATTCGTGTAGTGATTGGGGGTATGGGATCGATGCACGCATTTAGGCCTGTTGTTGCAATGGCTGCAAAACAATCGGGGCTCAATTCGCAGATTGCCGGACACAATTGACACAGAAGCAGCAATGTGTTGCAAATTGCTGCTCACAGAAAATTCAGGATTTGCGTCCCCCTGGGTAACTGTTAGAATCTCCCGCCATGGAGATGGTGCAATGGCGTGCTTAGTTGATTGAAATTGATGGTGCAAACGGCGGCGGGAAGATCTGTGGTCATATAGGGGCAGACACCGGAAAAGGGACATGGGTATCGAGCGGTGGTCCCTGGATGCTGGTGCACGTCCACACACTGCTTTACGGCGTCCTGCAGCAATTTGCATCTTGCCGTGCTTTTGCATTGTGGCATTATGCTGTGCGGGGAAGCTTGCGTCAATACGAGTGGGCCAATGACAAGTATATCTTCTAAATTCTCCCTGGTTCATCACCCCGGAGGACGCCAGATGGCAGCGTGGCTGTTCCGCTAACGCGTGTGCGCGTCGCCTGTTTGGCATACATCTGCAGGTAGACAAACTGGTCTCGTGTGTAAGGGTGTTCGCAGTGATGGATCCAATCATTGTTCACGCACAGCTGGCCTTAGCGTCCCCCCCCACCCCCACTCCCTCCCCCGCACGTCCATTGCCGGCAAGAATGTGCTGCCGCTTTGAGTTATACTGTGCAACGTTCTGATGCAGGGAGCACCCCTTTTAGTGATGGGTAAGATGGCTTGAAAACGCCTAAAGTTGCACTGACAGGGGTTGCGCTACTTGGCCATGATAAATCCCTGCAATCCAATTCGTATTGTTCTGTTGTTCCCAAACTACAATACTTGAATAGACTACATTCAATTGCACATGTATATGACCGTGTCACATTGAGCCGCTCCTGTGGATCACTTCCTTCCCAGTCATACTTTGTCTCAAAGTGATTATGGCGCTTCCCCTAGATCCTGCTGGCCGTGAAATGGAAGACCGCAACCAAACTTGATGACTCCACGCTTTTAGAAGCGCGTGCCCTATATTCCAGGCACGATTTCAGTTACATGGCACACTACAGTTGATGTACCACATCGCATAATGCACGATTTTGGATTTGTGCGATGTTTCGCCGGCCTCATTCGCTCACAATACGAAGCTGAGGGCACCCATAGACAGAGTACGTACTTCGGTGCGAAGCTCAATGCGAGCCTGCACCCTAATGCTCAGGCCCAGATGCTGTGGCGCAGCCCCTCTTCTATCTACCGCCCTTGACTTATGCGGTCCTTGTTGAAACCTCAACCAACATTTCATCATCCCGCGCTCACTCAACTTGTTTCTCGCGCCGTATTCACGATGTGCCTTTGTTGTGTTTCCCCGTCCACGCAGCTCCCCACACCGGGATAAGGTTTTCAATATCATCGAAATTTTCCGTTCCACTCTCATTCATCTTGCTTGACTTCTCGAGGCAGGAACTTTCCCAAGTTTATCCGACGCGCCTTTTTTGGCAAGTCTTTCCATACTGGGGCGGGTGAGGCCCTTGCCAGGGATCGTTGGCAACCAGCATCGAGCAGCCTCCCCAGAAGGCGGTCCCAGTTCCCCGCCCCCTCGAGCTTTGCCTCCGGGGGCTCTCGAACATCGAAGCCCCGAGGGGTCCCTCCCTGGGGACCACCCATTGTCCGCCAGCGAGCCCGGGTTCGACCGCGAGGTGAGTCAGTAGGTTGTGCGGCGAGCCATTGGGGCATAAGAATATTTCGCGACTTGTCACGCTGCCCGTCACTGCGGAAGGCCGCGGGCACGACCGTGGCGGGATTGCGTCATGCGGGAGGGCGAACGTGTTCCATGATGGGCTGGGAACGATTGCCCTTGCGCCGGGCTGAAACGGCGCTGCTGCGGCGGCCCCATGGCGGTGATCGGGAGGACGGGGCGGCTCTCGCAAGCCGCCGGTGACCGCCGATCGACTCCTCGGTCTGGTGATATAACCCCGGTGCGCGGGCGCGAGCAATCCACGGCGGACAATCTGGCCTGCACGGATTTTGGGTCCGCGGCGCGTGGCCGGCGGGCGCCCATCGCGCACGTGTGGCAGCAGCGGGGTTTTAGGTTTTGAAAGTGGACTGCTTGAGTCAGAAAAGGGGTGGGAGGGGCGGGCGTCACGAAGCAGCGGCTCGTCCAGAGCGCCTTCCCCAGCGGGCGCAAGGGTTTGGCGTCGCTATCGCGAAAGTTTGTTTGTCGCTCCGCGGATCGGGAGAGGGGGCAGCGATCCGCGGCATCAGCCGAACTTCCCCATGAATCGAGTGCCTTGCTTCCACAAAGAGCCCGCGCGTGCGCCCGCAGCGCGGGGGCGCTCAGTGCCGTCACGCAGCACGCGGCGCGAATTCGCATTGAACCAGTGGGGGCCAGTTGAGCGGGTGGAATTCTGACACCCTCCAGCGGAATACTCTAGGAGTCGCACAATGGGGGCCACGTAATTTCGCCGCCGTCGTTTACATGAACGTTTGCGTGATCGTTGCGGCGATCTTGAAGCGAGCATGGCCATTGCAAAGGAGCGAAGAGCGACGCCTTCTCGATGCGCCAGGCCGGGGCTCGTGAGGGAACTGCCAGTTGAACACTAAAAGCAACCAATGTGACACAGCCACTAGGAAAAAAACGGCCAAATAATACTTTTGCGAACACACATAAAACACATTTCATCAAAGTTTTGCACGCTAAGGACACACAAATAACACGACCCGTAAACTTTGTACACCTTTGAACACGTGTTATTTGGCCTTTTTTTCTAGTGGGCTGAGGCGGCACTCTGCCGGCATCGGCTTCTGTCGCCAACAACCTTTTGACATCCGCTTGAACCGCGTGGCAAGATCAGATGCAGGCACCCACGCGTCGCATTCAGAGAAATGTTGAGCCTGCGGCAGCGGTCGGTGCCTCGATGTTGTGCGGCATGACAATCAGCTATAGATACGCTGTGATTGAACAAATGGACCCTCTGGTGCTTTGCACTCCTCAGTTGCTGTTCGCATTCAGTATCTGCGACAGAAATGTGTGTGCTCCACGCCCGTTTCTGGTACGGACTGTCGACTTGCGTCTGGAATGAGCACGGGCATGAAACCAATGCGAATGGCTGCACCGTGGACCCACAGGTACAGGCGCAAAAGAGCATCTAAACTCCATGGCAGCCCTTTGAAACTGCAGGTGGTTGCAGTTGTCGTCCATGGTGGTTATTCACATAATTCTTTCAAATGTGTGTCATTACCATGACTACTTACTTTCAGTGCGTTGGTGTTGCACAACAGCAGTCTGCAGAATATTTGCAAGCATTCGATCGCGACAGCAAGTCATAATGCGCATGCGTGTATGCATATGTCGTAGCCAAGACTGCTTTCAGCACTGTTTCTCACTGGCTTATCTCGAATGACATATTAAAATTACTTTACATGCCAACACTAGATTTGGCATGTTGGCTATCTAAAGACCGCTCACAGCAATTTTGGGCCAATAATCACCTGCTGGATTGAAAGCAGGTGGTATCCTCGCGGAAAGTTGGGCGCGATGCAGCATGATGCAATTTAAATACCGTGTTTCGCGCTGCAGGCTTTGTAGGTACATACTGGCATAATCAACACAGCACAACTTCATGTTGCGTATTTCAGGTTGCAGCGACATTTTTTGTTCATTTGTTGCCTTTCTGCAAGTGCATCATGCGCTGCGATTTGGTTCACCTGTGAATGAATCGTTGATAAAAGTTTCTACAGACAACGTGGTTCTTGCTTAGCCTTGCGGATGAGTCACCAATTGGGTGTCCGTACTGATGCTGTTGTTTTCTTTTTATGCCGTTGTCTGTGTTCTGAGGATCAACTGAAGTTCTTGTCCCTCTTGGTGCGATGCGCTGCAGGACACAACATGTGGGGGAACTCGATGGAGAATTTATCCCGCTGCTGTGTGCTCCTACTGATGGCATTTAGCCACATTCTTGGACAAGATGAACCAGGTGTGATTCCGCTGTTTCTTGTTTACAACCGTTGTATTACAAATTCGTTCTCCATGGAATTCTGCCAGCAATCCTGGAGCTCAGTTGATGGCAGCGCTTTTGCCGGGCACTGGTTTTTGTCAACTGTGGGCGTCGTCTTCACCCGCCAGTCCAGCCATCTCCAAATCTCTGGCTTTTTTATCTTCGATTCTGGACTTTACGCCACCGTGGATTCCAACGATGTGATTTGTTTTGGTTGCGCATGATTCGGGAAGATGGACAACGCGCAGTGCAGTGCTCTTCGTTCATGGGCAATGATACTTCATTCCCGAACGCCACAATTGTGACTGAGGATGCTATGGAAGAGGTGGATAATGACATCCAGGCTTTTGTGAACTGCACACAGCCCTTCGGAGTGATACTGTTCTCCACACCAATCATCAACACCTTGACTACAGTTCTGGTTGATATGCCCATGACATTTGGCACAGTTAATGGTACTGATGTTGTCTTCAACTGCCCAACATCCGGATCAATTTTCGACATTCGGTGAGCTGGGCTGAAACAATGCTCGCAATATGCTGTCGCACAGGCTGTGTTTATGGTGCTTTCATCCATCAATGTTCAATTAACGTGCGTTGGAAATACTTCCTCCGTCCAGAATTAGTTGTCCTCTATTTGAGAGACAAAATTCTTAAAAAAACACCTCAAATTTACCAAAAAACATCAGAATCGGAAAGATTGGGTTGTAAAATCCTTAACTACCAATTTTCAAGAAAAAATAATCAGTCCCACCCCTTCTGGATGGCCCCCGAAATTGGCCGAAAACCGTCCAAAAAGTGTGCGTGCAGATTCCGCATCCGCTAGAGAATCGCACGTTTCTGGGTCACTCCCGTCCTTGGTGCGCTAAAGATAAGTCGTTGTCATCTTTGCAGTGAAGGGCAGCGTCCCTTACAAGGAATAGCGCTTGCCAAACACGCGTGAGCGTGTTTGGATCCCCGTCGTGGAAGGCCATTATCACAGTTTTGACGATTTTTGAAATCTCGGCCATCGTCGACCTTTGACGTGCGTACGTAAAGCAAGCGGACAAGGCTAGGGTACAGGGCATTCAAGCTTGGGCTATGGGCTAAGTATTGTTCCAAGGTTATTCGGTAGACTTGTTTGGACAATCTGCCTCGATTGAGGCTTGAATCGTTGTTTTTGTGAGCAGCCTGGCCCGCACCCCCACAAACTGCCACGATCTGCCAATTCTTGCATGCAATCCACAATCTGTTGCAGCACAACAAGTGCGTTTCCCTTTGAGAGACATAGTTTTATCTGTCTAGCTAGTCTTCTCAAGCTCAAGCCCTTCAAGTGCCAAAAAATGGTCGATTCACTATTCCTATCCAGGAGGGTCACTGCTTGATTGCCCCCTAATTGCCCCCTAATTATCCGCTGCTGAATGGGGTGATGGCCACCACCTTCCTAAAGTTCTGCAATGAATTTGGGGGGCCTCTTGCAGTATCCCTCATAGTGGAGTTGGAGGTCCAAAAGTCGTGGTTCAGGAATTTGGACCTGATGGGCATCTCTGATTTGGCCAATCAAACTTGAATTGCAGCCGCAAGGCACGGCGACTTCCACGATCAGGACTTTCAAGACACATTTTCTGTTTCCCTTTTCCTTTGCAAGCACTTCCACGATCTTCTGTCCAAATGGAGTGGATAGTTTCGCCGGGCGGCTCTGTAGCGCTGCCGCAAAGGCGTGCTCCTCAAAACAGCGAAAATGGCCATTGCAGCAGGAGTGTTGAAAAACTGGTGGGTTTCTGTCTAGATGACCCTTGCTCCAAAGTGCTGCCAAATCCGCAATACTCAACGGATTGACTTGAAATTTTGACTGCATACTTTCAAAACATATACGTAGTCCTGCAACAAATTTGAATAAGAAATAAAGTCCCTATGATGAAGAAGTAAGGCACCAAAGTCATAGAGGACAATTAATTCCAGACAGAGGAAGCAAACATACAAAATATTGTATCCTTTGATATTTTACAGGTTTTTATTTAAAGGAAACTAAAAAAAAGGTATCAGAAGCTAAGAATAATTCTAGCGCCTTCTGATGCCCAGCCGAATCTATGTGTATAACAGGTAGTTTCTAACATATTGTTAACTTTTAAAGTATTTTGAGAGTAATTTACCATAGTCTCTTGGGAGTACAATTGGGGCTTCAGTGCTCAAGTATTGTGGCTGACATATTCAAGAAATATGTGCAAAAGCCACCAAGCGCCAGGAAAAACCAAGCCAGATGATACGGTCTGCTCAAAAGCTGACCGCGCCATGTGGCCATATGTTATACTTGTGAAGTGTGGGCCATATCACAGTATTTCAAAATCTACAACCACATGCCGGCATCCTGATTTTGGGTGGCCTAGCCGTGGCAATTTGTTCCCTGGTGCGAGCTTTTGAGTAATGTACACCGCATTTAATGGCCGTTCATTTGGCCTCCATTCGAACGCCCGCTCGCACCACGCTTCGTAAAGCAGATGACATGATCGAGGTGCACGTTTCATCAGTATGCAGATGTGTGGATTTTTTTCATCTCGCCACCTGTATTACTACAAACTTGATCGTAGTTTTTGCGATGGGTACCTACGATGGCGCAGTTCCACGAGAGTTATATGGGTCTTAGATAGACTGCAGTATCCCTGAAACTCTGCATATGCCGTCATTGCAATGCATTCATTGTATTCAACATCAACGCAAAGTGTTTGCAACTGGAATGTGAGCAGATAGAGAACATAGCTCTCGTGGATTTCCTGTATTGCATTGCGGAGCACCAGAAGTGCATGTCAGCGGACACCCAACATCGGACTCGGTCATCTGTGACGCATTCCTAATTCCCATTTCGGGTGCCCTTCTGCGACCAGACCCCGGTATTAAGTCCTTCGGGTTCTGAGCTGCATTGGCATGCTGAGGAATGTTCGTTTTAGCCTTACCTGAGTGCAAAATGTGTGTGATTCAAGTTCGGACTCTCATTGTCCAATATGCCTCCAAGTCCTTTAGTACCCGTGGTAGTGTGTCTCAAATGTGTCCGTAACTCAGCCCAGGCAAAGTGCTTCGACATGCGAGGACTATTGGGCTAACTGTGGCAACTGTTTTATGTTCCATCCTTGTGCACACAATTCCCTTCCATTTTCAACATAAATTCCTGTTCTTCTGGACGCAATTCACTCCAGTGTGGAAAACTTCAGACTTTCATGTACGTCATGGCTAAATGATTCACTAACGTCATGTTTTGGGGGGCCGTAGCATTGCAATGCCCTTGACGGACAGAGACAAGTTGGAAAACTGCCACTAAGTTTAAGCACATTGTGAATCCTTGCATTCAAGTGTGGTGCACTTAATGCGTGGCCATAAGCTGTTCGCAAACCTCACTATGCCATGCAAGGCGAAAACAATGTCAGCATTGTGTACTTGCTAACAGATAATTTTGCATTCAACATTTCTTCTTCCTCATTTGAGTGTAGTTTGGAGTTCCATAGACCATTCTCTGTAGGTTCACATTTTGCTAGTTTGAGAAATTTGGAAATGTACGGCACCCATGCTGTGGGAATCCAATTCTTGGACTGCTTTCATTGTCAACCTTGTTATCCTGCAGCTCAATGAACGACTGATTTATGTGACGCTCTGCAGATCACCGGGAGTGACCCTGTCCAACATGACATTTGCCAACTGCACATCACTTGATGGTGCAGCTCCAGTGCATATATCGAACTGCACCTCCTTCCAACCTCCAGTGAGACTGGAAAACGTTCAGTTCCAGTCAAACGCAAACAGCAATGGTACAGCGGGCCTTGACATATCCCTCGGCTGCAACGCACAGCTGAAAAATGCTTCCTTTTTCAACAATTCGGGCCTGGATGGTACTGCGATAGACATCAAAAGCGGGTCATTAGTATCTGTGACCAGCTCAAATTTCCATCTCAATGTGGCGGCGAGTCGAGGTGGAGCAATCCAGGTAATTAACGCATCTCTGAAAATAAGGATGTGCAATTTCACCAGCAACAAGGGAGCCAATGGGGAAGGTGGCGCTGGAGGCGCGATTTACATATGGGTAAGACATTATGAGCATGTGAATTCATTAAAAACTGCTCTTTGTATTTCCGCTTCTTCCGTTTTATGTATGTTCAATCATTACTTTTGATTGACTGTGACCCGTAAGTACATGGAAAAATATGCGGGCCAACATCCATGATGTGAGAGCCTGGAAATGTTGTACCATTGTTTATTTATTTGTTAGGCCATCGTTTTGTTTGTATCTGAACAGGCATTAGCCATAGACGTGTTATTTTGCCTCCTGA